CTCATGTGGTGAGGAGAAGATAGAGATATTGTGTAATATGATTTTTTCTTTGTTTTATGATGGATTATTTTGAAACTTTCATTGAGAAGAAAGTTAGGCAGATGACATTAAAATGAAGGAGAATGAGAATGAGAGAGTCTCCTTCTGAGAAAGAATTCCTCCATGTTGACTTCGTAGAAGAGTGAACTAAACTTGGCGGTTCTCCTCAGGCAGGACTTGCCTCATTTCCAGAGGCTATTTATTTAAAATGAACTTCATGGTAGATAAGGAAAAGGAAAAATTCTTGGATCACAATTTCAAAATTTTGGTATGCCTTCCTTAATTTATCCAATTTCTTCTTCTTTTTTTTTTTTTTTGGCTGAATTAGAAAAAGTGTATTTTCTTTGAATTAAGGCATATAGAGGGAGAACCTTTGTAGTAAAACACAAATTTCTGATAAGGAAAATGCCAAATAGGAAGAGAAGGGAAGCAATCTAATGTTATAATGATGGTTTCAGAAGATGAAAAAATATCCTCACAGGTTGTACAAGTACTACCTTAGCTCATGGTGTGAACTTTGCCCTCTTTCCTGCTGGAGAGACCACCTGTTAACACAGTCACCTATTTCATTTATGTGTTTCTCAGTATCAGGAAAGATGTTCTCCCAGCGGTTGCCTTGCCAGCCAACTCCTGCAACTTCACCTGCTTATCCTGTGACATGTCCTCCCTAGTCTCTGGAGGCATGGTCTTCAAGTGTCCAGCACCTTGCACATTCCCGCAAAGCCCACCTTGCCACTGTCCACAACTACAGTGTGGATGTCTCCCAAGTGTACTTCTCCAGTAACCACCTAGACAGTGTTTACCCAAGTTGTCTCTTTTGGAGCCTCATTTGTATTTCCCAAGGCTAGAAGAGCCTCAGAAGTTGACAGGGCCAAAACACCACACAGACAGATGGATCCTCCCTTTCACAGCACTTTATCAAGTTCTATTCAAAACCTGGCATGGTGACAGGTGGCATCTCACCTCTCACCACGTGTCAGAGGCTGCTGCATCTTCACCAAGCATCAGCTTCCACTCTCCCGGGGATGACCCTTAACAGAGACAGCCTTCTTTTCTGAACTTATTGCCATGCAACATTTTAGGAGTAAACTGAGAAAGTACTGTCCTCAGCCACACTAACTTTTCCAGAGAGTCCAAAGGCACTTAGATCAAGTCCAACCTTCTTACAGTGATCCATCTGTCCTTCTGTGCTCTGGGCATTGATTTCCATCTTGTGGGTGGTTATGTTTATATGTCTGCTTTGTGAATTATAACCATATCTCATAATTGTCTTAACCTGGCTTCTCCAGAAAGTTGTGCCTGATGCTGAAGCCTCATAGATAGAGGTTTATTTGGGAGTGTGATCCCAGAGAAAAGGAATAACGGATGAGGAAATAACTGAGAAGGAAGGAATGTCCATTCAAGGCAGTGTTAATTTTTGCACATCACCAAGAACTACTGGTGGTCAAGCACTTGGGACCTTTTGAGGATCTTTAGGAGATGGCCTCAGAACTCTTTAACCTGGAGACGAAGTCAAGAAGTATTTATCCATAGCCTCCTGTCACTCCCCTTCACCACCACCATTTGTCCAATTTGGCTCCATGTGCATTAACTCCTCCACACTTCCATACCGGGCACATGAGAGTGCAATGTGTTTCACAGACACTCTGCACTGTAGTATCATAGAAGACTTGGATCAAGAAGGAAGAGGAGGCTCCTACACAAAGCCCATCCAAACCTACATGGGAAGGGCCACATGACAGTGTGTAGTTAAGAAGCAGGGCAGAGAGAATGTGTAGGGTTGCCCAAGAGGTGTCTAGGACAGTTAACCAGCTAGATCAAGATATAAGAAAATTAGCAGCATCCTATCATCCTGAGAAGGGCATCAGTGTGAAAGTCAGAGGTATGTGGGGAGATGCTAGTTACAATCAGAAGCTATATGTCTTCCCAGAAAATTCATTGGCTAATCTAGCTCTGCTGGTGAAGATATTGAGCTTCCCTGTATAATAGAAAAACACTTAATACCCAACTGTTCAGCACACTTTAGACACAAGCAGAAGAGTAAAGGAGAAATTCCAGGAGCTAAAAAGAGAAAGGTGTTGCTGGGGGAAAGGAGTTAAAAGTCAGATAGTTACATCAAGGCAAAGCCTAGAGAATATTGAGTGACAGCCCCCCTTTGCACTCAGGGATGTGGTTACAGGTAAAACATGAGAGGCAGGAGCCTAGCCTCAGAGCTGAGGTTCAGGTCAGCGAAATCCAGAACTAGTGCCATGGAAGACCAAGAAGCAGGAAGAAGGTTGCCCTAGGTCTGAGAATCTCACCAGATCAGCAAGCAGCAAGGCATTCTTGGAACTCCTTTTGCAGGGTCCTTAGAGATGGGTGAGGAGAGATTTGTACCCAAGGCTAGGGGAAAGCTAAATTGATGCAAGAGGCCTGGAACTCAGGTGGTGGGGGCAGTGGCCCCAGCCCAAAGGGAAGAGACTATAAAAACTCTAGCAAGGAGGGAAACAGATGAGTGGGAATAGTAGCAGAAACATCTGCATCTTGCTGAGCCCTTACCCCTCTTCTCAGCTCATATCACGAGGCTTGTCACAAGGGCATGTTTCCCTTATGAGAAACTTTCTAGGAATTCTCAAAGAAGCTTCTGGATGTCTCATAACAAATAATGTTATTCATTCATCCATCCGTTCTACAGGTGTCAATCCACTGAGCAACTACTGCACACCAGGCACCATGTGGGGATGGACGTAATAGGATAATGGTTTGGGGGGGGGGGCCAGTGGGAGGAACTTCTGGTGGTGGCTGGCTGGTCCTGGGCTCAAGTTCAGGAGAGGTGATACAGCTGTGGAGCCAGTAGGTACTCCAGAAACATTTAGGGAAGCAAAGTAAGGAGGGAGGAACTACCCAAACACTTGGGTTTGAAGAATGATTTGGATATCCCGAAGACCACAGCTTGTTACAGATTGTGTATGGAAAGTAGGCCTGGATTAGTGACCTCAGCTTCATTTTATCTTGAGCAGAGGGAACTCTGATATAAAGAGTCAGGGAGTCCCACATCTCTTGTCCCTGTGTTGTCCCCAGGAAGGGATCTTCATGAAAGGCAGGGTCTTCAGGGCCTGCTGTCACATTAGACAGAACAAGCAGATGGGCCACAAGGACTGGTTGCTCTGGGGTTGCTCAACCTGACCACCTCCCCGGTGTTTTCACTGATGGGTGCCCATGCCTTGTCTGCTATTGACTCTTAGGCCTTTTTTGGAGCAAAGGCTTTTTAGGGCCAAAAGGATCATTTTGGCTTTTCCTTTCCCCTCCCAGGCCGGGGTACACTGAGTGATGAATAAACAGATTTATTCCTTTTTTCCACCTGAGGGAATTCATGCCACCTTGCCCTTGGCCTCCCAAAAGAACCAGAAGAGATTATTGTTCATGTCCACGTCACTTTATGTATTAAGCAGCCCAACAAGCCTGGTCTGTGCTGAGGATTAGGGCCTTCCAGAAAACAGGGCTATTTCTTGTTCCAACAGCCCTAGAATTTCTTCCTTCTCTCTCCTTCCAGCCCACATCACCCTCACCATAAACATTACACCTGGATACAGAGGGTGCTCAGTGGGGATAAGGCCCAGGTGACATCATTCTCAGAGAGCAAGTGCCAAAAAATTGTCAAGTGGGTGGTTTCATCACAAAATCTGGGCCAACAGGTAAATGAGGGGAGTGGGGTGAATCATGTTTGACAGGCAAAGAATAAAGACACAGCAGCAGAAAAAAATCCCATTTCCTTGAGACAGGTCTTGATCTCTGTATAAAAAGCCAGTTGGCTGAGGACACTGCACCAGATCCAAGAGACCACACAGCCTTCTCCTCTCTGCGCACCTGGTGAGTCTATTCCCTTGCAACTTTTTAGTCTTCTCTCAAAGTACTTGATTTTTTATTGGAATCTCCTTGGCCTTCTTGGTATCTTTTTCCCCATTATTGAAGTTCAGTCATCAGAGTTACAGCCTCTAGAAATATCTTTGTTTTTAAAGTAATCATAGTTTGGGCTTGAAGGGACTTAAGACATTTTCAGTTCTGCCCTATCAGTTGTTGCTGTGTCAGTGAGGAGGGGATTGGCTTGTGCAAGTACACAAAGTTAGTAGGACAAGGACCAGAAATGAGGTCCACAGCACTTTTAGTGACATTATAATTCTTTCTTTAGTCATAATTTTAATGCAGAGAATTTTATTCTTTCAACAAATCTTTTTGTGAGAATTTACTGTGTTTGGCACTTTGGCTGCCATAAAAAACAATTTAGACAACAGGGAACTTACTCTGCGAAACCACAATTTATTCAGGAAAATAAGGCGTGGGCATGAAGAGCTAAAATACCATGTAGAAAGTCACCAGCATAAGGCAATAAGGACAAGTTAAGTGCTGTGGCAGTTTGGGGAGACACGTAAGTTCTGAAAGGTTTGCTCTACAAAACCTCGCAAAAGTATCTTATGAGGTGCTATATGATTCATGGTGGCTAGGCAGTACTGGAACAAGCAGAAATAAGGAATACATTTGAGGCAGAGGAGGATCGGGCGAGGGCAGAGGTGGGATCACGTGGGGTTCTAGAGAAGTCAGTAGTTATCTTATAGAAGATAAGCCATTCTATTTATCAGAAATGTGTGGGTGGGCTAATGTTACCGCGTTTTTTTCCAAATAATATCACATTTCCATATGATGCAATATTGTGATCTCACATACCGGCTGGGAGCCTGCTTGTGTGTCATGTTGCTAACTGGGTTTTAAGATGTGCCAGGAAGAAAGAGAGCACTGGGAGTGCACAAGTGGAGCAGAACAAATTGCTTTCACATTCTTCCTCTTGAAGCTCAGAAATCATCAAAGTGTTCCTTGCGGTAGACAGAGAGAAAGGGGAACATTGGCTTCCTAAGAGACCTGAAGTGGTGTTGAATATGGCTTCTTCTGTAGTTAATCCCTGTTTAAATCATCTGTTCTGTCTCTAGTCCCGCCCACTCTGAAGCATGAGTTCCCAGCAGCAGAAGCAGCCCTGCACACCACCCCCCCAGCCTCAGCAGCAGCAGGTGAAACAGCCCTGCCAGCCTCCACCCCAGGAACCATGTGCTCCCAAAACCAAGGAGCCCTGTCACCCCAAGGTTCCGGAGCCCTGCCACCCCAAAGTTCCAGAGCCGTGTCCCTCAAAGGTCATTCCGGAGCCAGGTCAGCAGAAGACCAAGCAGAAGTAGTATGGTCCACAGCCATGCCCTTGAGGAGCCAACCACCGGATGCTGAATCCCCTCTCCCCTTCTGCTCATGTGTCCCACTTACAATTAGCATGCTGTCACCAGCAGTCGCAGTCCTCTCTCATGTACACCCTAAAAACGTGTGCTATTTCCTTTCCTCCCCAAACACTCTGAGCCTCTGAATTAGGCTGAGAGTGTTGTTACCTTAGAACCTCAATTTCAGCTGCTCAAGATTCGTCTGAAGCGGGACTTAAGGTGCAAACAAATGGATCAGCTCTACTCTTCCCCCATTAAATGCATTTTCAATTCCACTCTTGATTATGTTGCCTGGTCTGACTCAGCTCCTTCCTTTCCCTCATGAAGCAGGACCTGTACACAAACAGGTTGGGGAGGAAGGACTTCCTTCAGAGGCATTTGATCCTAGTACTAGGTGGGTGGGAGGTTGTCCCCACCAAACGTTCCTGGGCTGTCAATGACAGGTTGTGCAATGCCACCCAGAGGCTGTTGCTTTGGACATTTAGGAGTGGAGCAGGGCTCTCCTCTTGCAACCCACTGAGTCACACGGAGTCTCGTTGGTGCCTGTCCAAGCTGACTCTGACTCTGTAACCTTGACTTCTCTGCCCCAAATCTGGCTCCCAGATTGCTGACTTAGCCAATTCCTGATTATTTCAAGGGATGTTGTTCCTATGTATGTGAATCTGCTCCTCTTCACTGATTTCTTTCTGATACCTATAACTCATATTCTCAAACATACCCAAAGACTCACACACTCCACTTTTGTTATCTCAATCAATCCTCTTCCGTTCACTTAGTGCCCGTTTTGTGCCAGAAAGGGTATGAAAGGATGCATAATGTCTCGCTCGGGGCATTTACTGTCTTTTAGAAGGATATAATTCACTGGCCTCCCCACCCCTTATACAAACACACATACACACTCATGCACGCTAGATGCGGAGTCTCCCAGAATAACACACAAAAGCTGATCCACTGGATCGCCAGGTTGGAGACTGCTTACTTCACACGTTAGTGTGACAGAAACCACAGGAAGAAAAGACCAGGAAGCACACCATCCCATCTTTCTGAAGTATAAAAATGTTAACAGTGAAATGAAATAATAAAATTGTCAACCATGCATTCGTATGTATATGCATTTACTTATATTTATATAAAAAGTATGTATTTTTTATGTTACTGGGAGACAAAGCAAATTTTCCTGCAGCAGTGTAAAGAGACGTATTTTATGGGCTGGCCCAGTGGCATGGTGGTTGAGTTCATGCTCTCCACCTTGGGGGCCCAGCATTTGCAGGTTTGGATCTCAAGTGTGGACCTACACATTGCTCATCAAGCTGGTGGCATCCCACATGCACAATGGAGGAAGATTGGCCCAGATGTTAGCTCAGGGACAATCTTCTTCACCAAAAAAGAGAGAGAGAGATTTTTCCTTAGGTTGTAAAATGAAATAATGAAAAAACAATGAGCATTTGGTATAACTCAAACAATTGTGATACTTTTAATCATAAAGTTTTTACCTTATTGTGCTCTTTAAAATTATACAGCCTATTTGAAAATGTTTACCCTGAAAGTCTTATGATCCTAAATGTCTTTTGTTTAATTGGTAGATAGGTCAACAATCATATTCAAGTAAGTAGTGCTTTCTAGCACCAAAACCAACTAAGCAAACTGAAAAAATTATGTTCTAATCATGCTATATTTATTAGTCAGCACAGGCTAACTGCTATAACAAATACCCCCTAAATTGTGTCTCAACCCATTAGAAGTTAATTCTTACTCATGTCCAAGTTCAGAGGGGTTTGAGAAGGTCTTTGTTTCATGCAGCCATAAAGGAAGCCAGATTCCTTCCCTCACATGGTCTCACCATTACTGAATGCCTTGTCCTCCTCTGAATTCAGGTACAAGAACAGGGAAATAGACTCTGTATGGAGAAGACACCCCTGCTCTTAACCACCTGGAATCAGAGATGACACACATCCCTTCTGTTCTTTTTGGCTTAAGTAGAACTTGGTCACATGGCCCTATCTGCCTTACAAAGTCAAGAAATGTAGTTTGCCAGTGAGCCCTTCAAGCGTCTGCCACAGTCTGTCCTTCTTGTCCTCAAATATCCATTTGTTCCTTTAGCTTCATAAGTAGAACACATCCCCCCAAGGGAAAAACCTTATAGTCCCAACCAGCTCAAAATATAGGGTCTCTGACTGACATTGAATTCTCTCTATCGTGCCATCCTATGGCTCCTGTTGGTTCAGTAAACTATGAGATAAACAGATGACCATTTCTTCCTGTTACCTAGCATCCAATGGTGACACAGGTACAGGAAAACTGAATAGAAAATACTATCTGCAAGGGAAAATAATGGGAGAAAAATGGAAGTCTCTAGGCCTTAGTTTTCTGAGATCAGCTGGGCAAGCACTATGAAGTCATATGCATCCCCACCCCAACATCCAGAAGTGATAGAAGTTTTGTGTTAAGGTCTTGATTCTGCCCTCTGAAAGGAACTCCTTTTTCCTTTGTTATCCATCATTCTTCCATCGGTAGGATTATTCCTTTTACGTAATCAAATCTGATGTGTGCATTATGGATTGCGCCCTTGTTGATAAGGTAAATTATGCAGCTCACTTTCTAACCAAGTGTGGTTTTAAGGCTCTTGGAAACAGTTTGTTTTGTTTTGTTTTGTTTTGTTTTGTTTGAGATCCAGCCTGTGGTTACCTTGGGGATATGACTCCTCAAAAACTTTGTAGACTTCTACTTGCTTCCAGTCGCTTCTACATTCCAGTAACCATACTCAAATTTCTTTCCCAGAAATCTTATGCTTATCTCACTCATTTGCTTCCTTTTCTCAATGACTTTCTTTCTCAACGGTAGCTTCTTTGGCACTATTTGGAAAAATAAACTTAGATGGGAAAGAATTAAACTTTAATCCAATCTTGGCTGAAAATCTGAGTCTTAACTGTCTTAAAACCATTCTCAATTTTATCTTTTTCTATTTAGTATCTAGAAGTAATCAACTTTCCACACCCTACAGGCCTCTAGATTTCTGGTTTCCCTCTATTCCCTTCTATTTCTGTTTGCAAAAGAACCATTTTTATGTTTTTGAAGTTTTATTGAGATAGAATTCACATACCTTAACATTCAACCTTTTAAAATGTACATTTCAGTAGTTTTTAGTATATTCACAGAACTAAACAATTATCACCACTACCTAATTCCAGAATACTTTAATCATTCCAAAAAGAGATTCCATATGGATAAGCTGTCACTCCCCATTCCCCTTCCCCCCAAACCCTGGAAAACACTAGTCCACCTTCTGTGTCTATGGATTTGCCTATTCTGGACATTGCATATAAATGGCATCATACAATATATGGCCTTTCATGTCTGATTCTTTAACCTAGCATAATGTTTTGAAGATTGATCTGTGCTGTAGTGTGTTTTAGTATTTCACTCTTTTATATTGCCAAATAATATTGCAGTGGATGGATATACCACATTCATCAGTTGATGCACATCTGGGTTGTTTACATTTATTGGCTATTATGAACAATGCTGCAAGGAACATTCATGTACAAGTTTTATGTGAACATATATTTTCAACTCTCTTGAGTATATACATAGAAGTGGAATTGCTGTGTCATATGGTAACTCTATGTTTCACTTTTTGAGGAACTGCCAAAATGGTTTTCAAGGTAGCTGTGCCATTTTACACTCCAACCAGCAATGTATGAGGGCTCTGATTTCTCCACATAATCAATGAGACTTCTTATTGTTTGTCTTTTATTATAGCCATTCTGGTAGATATCAAGTGGTATCTCATTACTGTTTTAGCCTGTATTTCCTTAATGAGTAACAATGGTAAACATCTTTTCACGTACTTATTGTTCATTTGCATATCTTATTTAGAAAAATATCTATTCAAAGCTTTTGCTAATTTTTAATTGGATTCTTTTTCGTTTTATTGTTGAGATGTAAGTGTTATTTATATAATCTAGATAAAAGTCTTTAATCAGATATATGGTTTATAAATAGTCTCCCATTCTGTGAGTTATCTTTTCATTCTCTCAATGGTATCCTTTGAAGCATGGAAGCTTTTAATTTTTCTAAAGTCTAATTTGTCTGTTTTTTTCTTTTGTAACTTGCACTTTTAGAGTCACATCTAAGAAATCCTTGCCTAATTCAGGATCATAAAAACCTACATTTTTTTCTAAGAGTTTTATAGCTGTTGCACTTACATTTAGATCTATAATCCATTTTTGGTTAGTTGTATTCAGCATGAAGTAGTGGTCCAACTTTTTTCTTTTGCACATGGATACCCCATTGTCCCATCACCAATTATTAAAAAGACTATTCTTTTACCATTGAATTGTCTTGCCACTTTGTCAAAAATCAATGGGCCAGGAGTGATGTCAGCATCATGGCACAGTGGGCTCTCCCCTTAGACTCTCCCCACTAAGATACAATGAAAAAGACATTCATAAACCAACAGAGGACATTCATACAACACAATAGAGTCTGAGGGACGCACACAGCTGTACATCTGAAGGTGGAGGTGCTGGACCATCTAGGAGGCAATGGATGGAGGTAAGGGGATCTCATGTCCTCCCATAATGGCAGTGACCGAGGGCATGGGACTGCACTTGGCTCTGAGAAGAGGAGGGGAGGGGGCAGTCCTCCACTAGAATGCTTTCTCTCTCTGAGTTGCCTCCCAGCCCATGGGAAAGACCCACACCAAGGAGGCTAAGAAATTGTGGGGACATATTCACAAAGCCAAGCAACTCAGGGGGACAGAGAGCAAGGGCAGAGTGTGAGTGCCCCCTCGGGATTACTCATGCAAAAAAAGCACCCCTTCACCCACCTGGCACACCAGCTTAGCTGGTTGGCCAGAGCAAGGAACCCCCGTCAGAGTGCCAGCACACACGTGTGTAAAGCAGAGGTTACCAGTGGGCAAATGCAAAAAAGATCTGTCAGCATAGCTTCCAGAAGACAGCCACAGCTACCAGGGATTGCAGCAGGCACAGAATACACAACCCCTGCCCCCACCCTCATGGTGGCAGGTGGAATCTGCAACCAGATACTACCACTATGCAAAAGCACAAATCCACCCTATCAAATAGCATGAAGAAGCATATTAATACTCCAGACAAGAAGGAAAATGACAAGCACACAGAAATAATCCTGAAGGCACAGGAATTTACAATCTCCATGGAAGAGAATTCAAAATAGTCATCATAAAAAATATCAATGAGTTAAAAGAAAACTAAGACAGACGGTTCAACGAAATCAGGAATAAAATTAGTGAACAG